GAAGGTTGCTGTTTGCAGACGACCTTGTTTTACTAGCATCTTCTGAAAATGATGTTCAGTGCTCCCTAAAAAGGTTCGCTGCCGAGTGCGACGTGACTGTCATGCGTGTGAACGCATCTAAAAAGAAAAGCCTAGTGCTTTCTCGTTCTCATGCCCTTTGCTCTCTTCAGACTAACGGAGCGGCAGTGAAGCAAGGGTAAAAGCTAAAGTACCTCCAGGTCATGTTTACTGGTAATGGAAAATTTGAGGAAGTCATATATTCTGACGAATTGGAAGGACAAGCGGCCATCTGAATGAACGATCCCGAGCAGTTATCACCAAAGCAGATCCGAGGCTGAAGAGTAAGCTGTCTGTGTTCAAGTTGATCTTTATCCCCATGCTGAAATTGGCTTTCCAAGACGAACGGAAAGGCATTTCGAAAAAGTCCCGATATCCGAAAGAGGTTTTCTGTGGAGCAGCTGGTCCTCTAGATTTAGCAGTAACAACTGCGATGGTTTTGGTACGTCTTGTAAATGCTTTCAGAAACAAAGAAGAAAGGGCTTTCAATTTCCCAGCCAACCGCCAATGACTCCTCAGCGGCGAAGAATAATCAGGGCCAAGCTTGTAAAAAGATTCTGCTCCAGACTCCGGTTATCTTTTGCCGAAACTCAAACGGTGGTACAGTATCGGGAGTGCTTGAGACACTTTGACACATCTTCCTTCAAGACCCAAATGAATAAGCGGTATCGAAACCGACTGACAAACGAATGCATTGAAGGCTTCAAGGTACCGTAAGCAGCAAAACAAAATACATTCGTAAAATCTGTTCCCTCAGAAATGGTCGTATAAGTCACGTCGAAATCGTTCAGTGTTTTAGTTGGTAATGGCAACTTCTCCTTGGCTGATGTTTCTATTCAGCTTCATGGTTCGATGCCTGTTTGTCCATTGCATAGGCTGAATGGCAAACGCAGATCCACGAGATGAAGTGACTGTTGGATCGATTGGTTGTCATGCTAACCAGGAAACTAGATGCAATTCGACTGGACGGTTGATCCATCGATTACTCAATGAATGGGCTTCCTCTCATTCGCTTACGTAGCGAACGAAAGGCGGTATTTTGCAAGGGTTATCTACAGTTTTGCGTAATGTCTCAAATGAGTAAGCGATGCTAAGCTTCATCCAGAAGTGAAGAATGCGTTTCATGCGTAAGGCCACGAAATGAAGCTGAAGCTGTTGTTTGTTGCGTTTCTCGACCGCTCTTCTCTCAGCCTCTCGTGAGGGAAGCTTTTGAGGTTGTTATGGCAACCGTGCAACGAGATTTCAGTTCTTGCAATCGACAAATCAATAGAAGCGCCTAACTGCTTATCTGATCGGATCCACGACGACCAAAATTTGAGTAAAGTCAACTATCGAATGACCAACGTCGACAGCAGCAGTCTCGCAACAAAGCACTGCCAACGGAGTTCTGAGCCGTCTCCGGTGATCGATGGCTGAATACGTGCAAAGACACAGTACCGAAGACTTCGAAGAACTTTCCAAGCAGGTACTCGACTGTTGTACTTTGAAGATCGACTTTGGTTGTAGCGGGTAATGATTGATGTTAAGCGTGGGAAAAATATTATTGGCCTAAAAGATCGTTTTGACCTCATTTGTTTATAAGTGCTCAATTTAGGTGCCATGGATTTGTCTTCAGGTCAAGTAGCTCCATTTTCTTTTTCGTCTTCATCTCTTTCTTGTACCTCTTACAAGTTTTTTTTTCGTTTCCTTGTTTTGCTGTTCCATACGCTTATTGCGGTCATCTTGCTGAGTCATTTGCATTAGCAAGGCATTTTTGGTGTTACGATGTTTATGGAATTCTCTGCGTACAGTTCCTCGTTTAAAGCAGATCTGTTTCTCTCTCGAACTGTCTCTCCACGGTTGTTCAGAGCGCTGAGCTCATCTATGAATCGACGAACATGTACTTCGTTCGACAACTTAAACAATTGCATCAGAAAGGTACAGACTGAGAAGAGCTTTGATCAGCAGGTAATATGGTAAATATATACTTACCACTTTAACTTAGTTGTACTACAGATATTAACAGCAGGCATCAAAGTATTGAAAAAACAATCATAGCTAAATTTCTTATTGCAACGAGTTGGAATCACCAAAAAAATATTTTTTCTGTCACCTTAATCTTGAGATTGATAACGCTGTTTTAGGTTTGCACTTACTGAGGATATATGGAATGACTCAAGTGATGAATACGGCTCATTTCCCCTACTGAATGTTTCTATGTGTTGTATGATGAGTCTATAATGTTCCTTTCAGTACTTCTATATCGTATTTTGAGAACCCCTGGCGTGGTGTTTCATACAGTTAACAAAGAGCTTGTTCTTACGAGTTATATTAGATTCTTAAAATCGCCTTAATTAAACAGCTGCATGGTTTTCGTGTCAAAGAAGTGCCATGATAATAAATTATGAAATCACAAGTCGGTTTACCGGCATATCTCTTAAAGTCGCCTCATACGTGATAAAGAAGAAGGTAGGAAACGACGTGGTGATTAACAGAAAACATTCCTTAAGAAAAATCCATCCAGGATATTCTCAAGATCTCATGATGGACTGCAAGTATTTCCGATACGGTACGCTATTCCAACAAAACGACAGAGCTCCAATAGGCAGTAGCTGCCCAAATTTTTAAGGAACATTTTGAAACAGCTGCTTTTCAAACATCATCTAGCAACATTTTGGCAGTGTTCCTTAAAAGCCATTAGGATTATATTTTTACTATTTGCAAGAGTGACACAGGATCCTTGTCTATGGACCACCTGAACATCAAATTCACAATAGAAAGCTTAGCGAAAGAGCATGTTACCCTTTTTGGATGTCTTGGTTGCGCAGAAGGAGGCCTGCTATAAAACAGAGGTTTACAAAAAACGACGATGACAAATAGCGTCCAACGATTTGTTGGAATCAGACGTCAAAGAATTGCTTCTGATGAATATGACATTTAGAAAGATCTGAAGTACCTCAGGAAAGTATTAAGAAACAGCTGCGATCCCAAATGCCTGGCAGAAAAAATCGCTCATCATTGCATGAACCATCCTCACATGGAATATAACGGTAAGGTAACGTCTACCTTACTTATGAGCGAAAACCGACGAAGGATCGTCTTACCTCTCGCTTGAAATTTCTGTTCAAATTCGAGCTCACCCTTTGGAGTCAAACACTGAATGCCAAAACGAACAATTCGTCGGGGAACGAACATTGGAATGTGTCCATTGTAATATTTGTAAATGCGGTGAAGTCACGGCGAAAAAACACGTATCGAATTCGACTGAGCAGAGGAAAGAAAAAAGGAACAAGAGCGCAACCTTAAGAGAGGGAAAAATGCTGATTTAAGAGGAGAGAGCAATTCGCGACAGGGACGAGGTAAAAGGATGATTAAAGAAGCGGTAGTCATCAAAGCAGAATGGAAAGCAACTCGGCTTTTGTTGAAAACTGTATCTTGGAAAATCACGAAAATGTTCGCAGCATATCAGCGCAGTTTATGCAGGAAGAAAACCCAGAAATTAGAAAGATCAACAGGCCAACAGGCGTTTGAATAAAGGTCATGGAGAGGACCTAAGTATTAGCTGGACGGCAGGCTTCTAATAAATCGCCACCAGCATTAATTCTTGCTTGGACCTTCAGAGAACACCCTTTGACCCAAACGATCGGACGTTTGTCAGATCTGCTGTGTACAACCGGGACTCCTTCAGATTGAGAAGTCACAGAGAGCAGCGATGGGCGCGTCCTTTGAATGCTTCCAGAAAAAGAAGGACCAGTTACTACTCGATCATCCGATCGGCCAAAGACCTTCAAGACAACCAAGAATAGCCCGAGGCAAGTGTCCCGAGAAACTCTGCTTCCGATTGAGGTTATCTCATTCTGAAGCTCAAACGCTAGCAGAGACTGCGTGACAAGTCTGCCTTCGTGATCGAAGATGATGAGCATTCAACGAAACTGACAGCTTGACGAAGTGATTATCTTCGCAATTTAATTTAAAATTAAAAATTGAGTTTATAGTAATCCTCCTCCTTTTATTGACCTTCGGTATTGCTCAACATAAATCAGACCTAAAGATGACCCTGATGGTCAGATAATTGAGATTTTATTTTATCAGCAGTCAAGCGAAATACACGTATAAAACTGAGTTTGCGCCTTGACTGATAAATTAAAAGTACATAAATAGGAGACAGACAAAAGTCAAGAGACTTAGTTCAGAGGTCCTTTTGAGCGTTCTCAACCGTTGAGCTCGTAGAATTCTTCCTTTAATATCTTTCATGTTGTTCGGCGCTGCGTTTTCAAAATCCAGTCTTTCAGTGCTAACCTCATTTTAACTGCTTCCGGCAAAGATAGAGTACATTATGAACAATTTCAAAAATATACGAATACCAAAATTTATCTTGTTTCATTTTGCTCTTGCAGCTGTTGTATGTCGCCGAGTTTAACGCCTACTAGCCGATTGCATTATTTTTGCTTTTAGCTATGCAGCATGCGTCACAAGTTACGAAACAAGGTCGAGGCATTGATCGCGTTGAGTGAAGACCTGAATCAATGCCGGGAGAGATGTGACGCGAAGGAGGAGGAAATTGCGAAGCTTCAAGCCAGTTTTCGAGAGGTCGAGGAAAAACTCACGGCAACGGCGAACTTGGCAAGCAAGCAGAAGCAGGAAGTCGAGGAACGCGAAGAGAACTTGTTGCAGGCGTTGAATAGCGTAAATAACGAGAACAAGCAGCTGAATGTCGAACTGCAAGAGCTGTCAGCTAAACTCACAGAAGCAAAAGGGGACAACAAGGTCAGGCAGAATTTTAGCGGCCTTAAAAAAATATCAATTTTCTATTTTTCAGTACCTGAGACAAAAGCTGATGCGGTTTGTGAAGATGGCGGAGAGTGATGCAGATTTGTTGGACTCATATGGCGAACCGCAGCCTAGAAGATACTCGACTATGAAATACATCGACTCTAAGTTCATCGACAGTTATGAAGCTTTAAGTCTGGAGGTATTGCAAGGAGACGGCGAGTCATGTAGCAATTTTCCAGGGTCAGATTCCTCAGACTTTGTTCATTGAAGGCCTGAAAGGTGCTCCTTTTCCTATTTCGTTAGACCGTCCATCAAACATCGCTTCATTTGGCATTCCGCGTGTCTTAGCCATAAATCGTCGACCTACGCGCAGAGGTTGGACGGCTGAAAGAAAACAACCTTCTTCGAGAGTGGTCCCAGCCTTTCAGTTTATGTTTG